TAATTGAATGGGGCAGTTGCATTGTATTCAAAGAAATGACTTCAGAAGCGTGGCTTGAGCTTGGGAGAAATGTTGCGTGGGGCTCTGTTTTCCAGACCATTTTCAGTCTTCGGAGTTGATTATCACGCAAGAAGTGATTGCGATAATGATTACGATTCATGCTTCAATGACATTATTCTTCCAACTGTGATCTTCAGCGCAGTGTTGTCACACTCATTTTCGATGCCGCAATGAGCCTGTCACTTCTACGCCTCCTCAGAAAAATTCTTCCAACTGTGGCCTTCAGCACAGTCTTGCCACACTCATTTTCGATGCTGCAATGAGCTTGTCACTTTTACGCCTCTTCAGAAAAATCGCGTATGACGAGTGAATAGAGTGTCATTAGTTTCAGAATGCGGTTGCATTGCAACGGTGCACACACTATATTTGTTGCATTACGTGCGTAGCCAAGAGATCAGCATATGACGTATGCGCAGCGCGAATCTTAGGACTGCATGCCTACGTGAACGCCTTTGACTTTTTTCTTCTTTGCATGCCGTATTCTAAAACCCTCAGTTATTCCAACAGGGCAAGAGACTTCTTTATCCTGCAGAAAAACACAGCTAAAGTGAAATATTTTTGCTTAGATGCCAGCTATTCTATTATTGAAAGGTTAATGGTCTAGGTATTTAGTTTTTCAACAAAAGTTTTTTTTTATTCAGGCATTTTAATAAGAATGTCACCATTGTTTTTTCACACGCGTGGCTAATTTTGGATACTTGAACTGCCCTTGGTTGAATTTCGCTACTTTAGCTACATACCTTTACCCATTCTTTAGCCAGTTACTATTATTCTGTCTGTGAAGCCCTGGTTATGACCTCTGATTTATGCTCCTCGTGAGGATTGTCATGCTATGCAAACTTCGTACTCATCAAATTAAGGGAACCGTCAGCATCAGATAAAATATATATATATATATATATATATATATATATATATATATATATATATATATATATATATATATATATATATATATATATAAATATATATATATATATATATATATAATTTGTCGGAAAGCAAGGCTTGTGATAAACCGCTATAGCGGGTTATACTATACATATATATTTCCAAGAACGTTGCTAATACACCTCCACACGATTAGGGCAATATTGCCGTGCAGTGTTGTTTTGTCCGAAAGCGTATCACAATTTTCGTACTACCATACAAACCAGCATGCCCCAACAGCGTGGTTAGAGATATTGCTTGTGACGCTTTGTATGAAGACGACTAACTATAGATACGTCGTCAGCGCTCACAATTCGTGAAAGACATACGAGTGCCATGATTTTTTATGTGCTGGCGTAAAGCATTCGTTAGCAAACTATTCAGTAACGCGTCATCTTGTACTACTTTTTCTTCAAGAAACAACCAAAGTGAATAAGTGTACATGGCTCTTCACTTAATATACCAAAAATATTTTAAAAAATTCGTCACATTCCACGTACCTTGGAAATCAATGTTATGCGATGCATTGGTAGGAAAGATGACTGTGCAGTAATTTTTTTATCGTGTGAAATGTTAGAAAGTTGTGCTAAAGATATGTACAAATGCACGTACAGACACACATTAAGCAATCACATGTTTTGTATAGCTAGTTGTTTACAGTGTCGTAACGATGGCAGCAACAGCATGGATATTAGGAACACCATAAGCGGTAAGCTAATATGAAGCGCTGGTGGTCGCAAGAATAATATAGCCCTATATAGAGACCGCTACATATATCAACTTCGGTGAATAGCGCTTAACTACAATTGACTTTAATACAATGTGACCGCTGCATTATATGAGTACATATGTAATGTTATATACTGATAAAGATTATACTTATAAAGTTCGCTCTGGAACCATCATACTCTGTTCGCCAACATTACACCGGCATAGCTTTCTTTTAGAAAACATTTTCGAGACCTGGCGTAGTTATGTGGCAGAATTGTTGATTGCCTTGCATAATGAGGGGGTTTGATTCCTGCTGGGATTCTGACACTTATCCTTCGCACTCGTCGAATTAATTCTGCCGTTGTCAGTTTTTTCTTCAAGGGGCCCTGAAACACTTTTTTGAGTAATCACGGAATTAATTCACTGGAAAAGCGTATTGCCTCACAAACTCAAGCCCCCCCAAATTTGAAGAATCCGTCCAGTACGAGCAATGTTACAAAGATTTGTCACACGCTGCAATCGCATTCTTTCTTCTCTCGTCCCGACAAAAGCGCTGGAAGCTAAAGGAGAGATGGGAGGGGCAAACAAAAAGCTTCACGCTTGCTTCATGACCTTGAGCACTATTTTTTTTCATCGAATGCGCGGTTTTCTCAGTGCGATCGCGTGCGCACGCATGGACAAGTGACAGCCTCTCACGGCGATTTCTGTTACAACCAAGCGCGCCATGTTCAAATCAGCCAATAGCTGATAGATGGGTCATCTACGTTTCACTTTTGGACATATTCCACGATTTGTCGAGGCAAGACAAAGCAATTTCTAGTTGACTTTCATAAATTATTGGGAATTCCAGGCCATGTGCTGCGCTAAAACCTTTGAGTCATGTGTTGTCGGAAGCCTCTACTAACGATCGGCGGTGCTTACTGATTATGCTAAAAAATCACAGCATATCCACGGAGTGAATGATAATGAGTGGGGTGAAGCGTACGTCAGCCCGTCCGTGCTTCCGTCCTTCCGAGCGACCATCCGTGCGTCTAACCTTGCGTCCGTCCGTGAGTCCATCCGTCCATCCATCCATCTGTCTGTCTGTCTGTCTGTCTGTCTGTCTGTCTGTCTGTCTGTCTGTCTGTCTGTCTGTCTGTCTGTCTGTCTGTCTGTCTGTCTGTCTGTCTGTCTGTCTGTTCGTGTGTCCATCCGTCCGTACGCCCACGCGTCTATTGATCCGTCCGTCCGTTTGCTAGTCTGTCTGTCCGTCCATCCGTGCGTCCATGTGAACACTCCAAGTACGGCCATCTCCTATCTCGCAACACCTGTGGCAGCTATACCCACTCTAAAGCGGGTATGTGCCACCAGTGGCTACGTACTGCTACATACATACAAGGGATGGACAGACCCACGCCTCAAGGAGCTTCGCCCCTAAAAGTGTTGCCGGGCCCCTTTAACACTCTCATGTTTAAAATGGCAATGTCGGTTCTCGCTGTTCCTGGGCAGATATAAATGACCTGTGGCACATACCCACCTTTGGTATGCGGGTATGTGCCGCAGGTGTCTGGTGTAGATGATCTGACAATGTACGCGACGGGGTTGTGTCATTATTCCTGCCATGACCATCGAATCATAATCGTCAAGCCGACTTACTCTCTCATACTAATTTTCGTTCACGCCAAGTAAAGTGGGTGATCACGAGAGCACCCAGACGATAGATAGACAGAAACACAGAGACAAACAGCCAAATATATATACATATATATATATATATATATATATATATATATATATATATATATATATATATATATATATATATATATATATATATATATATATATATATATATATATATATATATATATGAAATCTAACAGACAGTAATGCCAAGGAATGTACAGGAAAAGTTATTAGAACCAATGGAATGTAAATAAGAAGAAAGAAAAGTGAGTGAAAAACTAACCAGCCGTGAGCAGGAATCGAACCTACGACCTTCGAATAACGCGTTATTCTATTAACTTTTCCTGTACATTCCTTGGCATTACTGTATGTTAGATGTCATTAATATTGTGTCAAAACACGGAAAAACGAGCCCTTAGGTATACACTTCTTTCCCTTATGTCATCATCATCATCATCATCATCATCATCATCAGCCTGACTACGTCCACTGCAGGACAAAGGCCTCTCCCATGTTCCGCCAGTTAACCCGGTCCTGTGCTTGCTGCTGCCAATTTATACCTGCAAACTTCTTAATCTCATCTGCCCACCTAACCTTCTGTCTCCCCCTAACCCGCTTTCCTTCTCTGGGAATCCAGTTAGTTACCCTTAATGACCAGCGGTTATCCTGTCTACGCGCTACATGCCCGGCCCATGTCCATTTCCTCTTCTTTATTTCAACTATGATATCTTTAACACCCGTTTGTCCCCTAATCCACTCTGCTCTCTTCTTGTCTCTTAAGGTTACACCTACTATTTTTCTTTCCATTGCTCGCTGCGTCGTCCTCGATTTAAGCTGAACCCTCTTTGTAAGTCTCCAGGTTTCTGCTCCGTAGTAAAGTACCGGCAAGATACAGCTGTTATATACCTTCCTCTTGAGGGATAGTGGCAATCTACCTGTCATAATTTGAGAGTGCTTGCCGAATGTGCTCCACCCCATTCTTATCCTTCTAGTTACTTCAATCTCGTGGTTAGGCTCTGCGGTTATTACCTGCCCTAAGTAGACATAGTCTTTTACAACTTCAAGTGTACTATTACCTATCTCGAAGCGCTGCTCCTTTCCGAGGTTGTTGTACATTACTTTCGTTTTCTGCAGATTAATTTTAAGACCCACCTTTCTGCTCTCCTTGTCTAACTCCGTAATCATGAGTTGCAATTCGTCTCTGAGTTACTCAGCAATGCAACGTCATCGGCGAAGCGCAAGTTACTAAGGTATTCTCCATTAACTCTTATCCCTAAGTGTTCCCATTCTAGGCTTCTGAAAACCTCCTGTAAGCACGCGGTAAATAGCATTGGGGAGATTGTGTCCTCCTGCCTTACACCCTTCTTGATTGGTATTCTGTTGCTTTCTTGATGAAGCACTATGGTAGCAGTTGATCCCCTGTAGATTTCTTCCAGAATGTTTATATATATATATATATATATATATATATATATATATATATATATATATATATATATATATATATATATATATATATAAATTTGAGTGAGTTGGATGCGTACGACGCATTGTTTAGCGGCTACTAACGCAACAATGAAAAATGAAAAAGAAATCAGTAGCTCTTAAGGCAAAGCCAAACAGACAACATACAATTTCTCTACAGCACTCAAATTTATAAAGCTGCATGATCAAGGTGCTGTGCATATTGCACAGGAGAAGGCTCATGAAAAGGAGCACGCCGGTTTGTCGGAGAACTCGTTGATGAACCAAGTCACGAGCCTCCGTCTCTTGCTGCTTTGATGTGTTGCAGGGAAAACCAGGGAACTGCTGTCGATCAAATAAAAGTACCTGACATAAAAATAAAAAAGAAAAGAAAGTAAAACACACACTCACATGGAGATACTAAACTTTTGTGAAAGTCAAACAGAAACGAGGAAACATCCACAACAAGTGATAACTGATGCTTTGACCATAATTATGCGAATTGTACTATTGTTCTATTGTTTTATATATACGGCACCTCAAGCTCCCTTTGGCGAGTTGGTTGAGATGCGTCCTGTTAGTTTTGTAAATAAATAAATAAATAAATAAATAAAAAAATAAATAAATAAATAAATAAATAAATAAATAAATAAATAAATAAATGTTGCAACAATTACTTTGCTAATATAATTAGTTTGTGTTGTACGCAGCCTTTCTAATCTTCTCATGAACACCGCATATATTATCACTTTTAAACAGCGATACAGCATACACATCGGTCCTTGTTATCGCATGGCGATATGTCACTGTCAACACAAAATGAAAATAATTCGCTCGAGTCAGTATCGTGAACTCGTACAAAGTGAATACTACAAACGTTTGATCTTTTTGACTCAACAACGCTTCAAGAGAAGAGAAAAAAAAAGCCTGGGAAAGTAAAGTGGGTGCTTTTCGATTCACGTGTCGAAAGAATCGCGGTGACTTCATCGGTGTAAGTGTTGCGCTTGCTAATGCGTTACATGACAGATTCAGTGTGAATTTTTTCTCTGCTTGTGAGTTGCCTGCTGCGTAACTCGACATAGTGATCCTTGAAAGGGCCCCCAAACCCACCAGAAGCCGAAGTTAAGCTGTGGTGTTGCAATTGTGCACGAGTCTAAAATGAACACATAACCAAGAGCATTTTTACGAACGTTGCCTGTTACGCCGGACCCTGAAATTCATCATGGTTGACGCCATTATGCGTTGACCTGTCGGTCACAAAACTATTTCTTGAAATAAGCGCTTGGACGGAGGCACGGACCCCACATTTTCCTGGAAGGTGCTCATGCACCTGTGATAACCTGTGGCCGGGCGATCAAGGTGGCCTCATAGAGGAACGGCGTCGCTGGAGAAGTTCGCCTCGAATCAGGGCATGTCTTCACCTGAACGCGGACATGCACTTTTGCAGGGGCTCGAGCGGAATGTCGCCAACTCCATCGAAGCCGACGACCCGCCTCCCCTTGCCCTGTTCGAACTTATCTCTCTCGCCCAGTGTTTTCGACATCAGGTCGCCTAAAGCCTGGAACTCGTACGTTGACATTGTGGGGTGCAGTTGCGGCTCCATTAAACATCGATCTCGACAATGCTCATGAACAGGTGTATTGAGTGGATCTCTTCACCCTTCCCGCTGGATGGAGCACTAAGACACCAAGACACCGAATTGGCGGGAGCTGCTGTCATTGCTTCCCGAGTGTCTCGGTATTAGCAGACGCAGGGCTAAAGAAGCAGAAAAATTTGATCTCTCTCGCTTGTGCCTATGTAAATAGACCTATGCTCTCTTGACTATTGTAAAAGCGCGCCTTCCTTTTTGTAGAAGATGGTCAGAAAATGAGGTCCACCAGCTTCACGGTGAACCCGAGTAACAAATGCCGTAATAGAGGAGTAACATGTGACGCGTTCGATGTCACGAAAGAGGCCCTCGCTCGTTTCGCTCTTTTCTTTTCTATGCTCCATTCGTCGGCTTGTCTCTCCTACGGGTCGAGTGCCCCTCCTCACTGTGCGAGGTGGAATAGCAGCTAGCGCACGTACCCACGAGAGGACACACTTCTTTCTTGTGCCCGTAATTGCCCTGCCGTGGTAGTCTAGTGACTGAGGTATTCAGCTGCTGACCCACAGGTCCGGGATCGAATCCAGGCTGCGGCGGCTGCATTTCCTCTGGAGGCGGAAATGTTGTAGGCACGTGTACTCAGATTTGGGCGCACGTTAAAGAACCCCAGGTGGTCGAAATTTCCGGAGCCCTCCCCTACGGCGTCTCTCATAATCATATGGTGGTTTTGGGACGTTAATCCCCACATATCAGTCAATTGTGTCCGTGATTGCACACCCCGTCTTTCAGATTCAATACTCACCAACTAGCTCAAGTCTGTTAGACAAACAGCTATTGTAGATGACCAGCAGGCGACATACATGTGGCCGTAACAGCGAATGCTCTGAGGGGGAGACGACTGCCGAGAGACACGAACATGAGAAGGGATTGATTCTTGAGATTTGTGGGGCGCCTGCGGCTCGTAGGGCTGCCGAGTGTGGCATTTTTGATTGTGACGGTATTCCGTACTTGATGCGCGCGTTTACTTGAAATATTAAAAAAAATGATATGATCGGAGTTGGTTTAGGGGCCCTTGAAATATGCGCAGAGTTCATCAGCGCTGCGCACCAAAATGATTCAGCGCTTTCACAGGTGATATCACGTTTTTTTTTTTTCTTGGCTCTTCATGTTGTCCATTTTTACCGCAATAGCAAATGCTTCCCGTCACTAATAGATCGTTTCTTTTCATTTATATTTATTGGCTTTTCATTTTTCAACGCCGGGACCCGTAAAAGTGATGTAGATATCTGAATGTCACGGGATTGAACCCAGGTCGCTGCAGCCGCATTTCGATGTACGTGAGATGTTAAAGGGCGGTGAACTTAGGTTTATGTCCACGTTAAAAAATATGAAGTGGTCAAAATTTTTGGAGCACTGGCCTGCAGCGTCCCTCACAATCATATTGTGGCACGCAAAAGCACGCCAGTTATTAATGATGTCGTGAACACTTTGCGTGGTAACCTGCTTTCCGCTGCACATTGTTAACTGTATTTCTGTATTTTTCATGTCTGAATGCTTTACACATTATAAATCGCAAAGGTTTTTGGTGTCACATAGCGTAAGGCATCCCAGCGTTTTTCCTCCCTTTGTTGATTTCGAGTATACATTGATTTTTCAAGCAGTTGCAAAGGAGGAGAAAAAAGTGAAGGACGAAGAGGAAAGCAAGGAAAAAGACTTAGCTCTGGAAATGCAGCCAAAAAGAAAAAAGTTTGTTAATTGAACATAACTAATGATTTAGTTAGTGGGAAGGTAAAAACAGCTTCAATAACTACAAGCTAGCGCTAATAGAATGTTTTTGGTTCAAATTCAAATATATTCTAACGCGCCTTCAATTTTTTTTAAACTCTTGGTTCTAGTTTATATGAATCACAATGATCGCAAGTGTTGTGTTAGCATAAATTGTTCTTGTAGATGTAGTATTCAACACTGTTGTTTACGTGATTTTCGCACTAAGACTCATCCTGTGATTACGGGTTTATCTGTTTCATTGTATATTCAGCTGTGTGTGTGGTTCGGGTAAACACTGAGCTTCAGTTTCATTTAGCAGCTGTTGTCAAAGTATCACCTTCAATACAGTCCGTGCTGCATTTCGACCTACGGTTGCAAAATATGTCGAAGGCACTACAGCTGCTGCGAGATGATCTCAGTTTACATAACTGCAGCATTTTTTGTCCAATAAAAGTAATTCTTTCTTTCCTGATGTTTGACAATATCTGCTTGAAATGAAACCTTGCGGAATTCTAGCGCTGCTTTGAAAATAGTTGGCTTGGTATTCGATAACTATTAGTAAGTTGGGAACATATTCGATTCGCATTTCATTTTCATTTATTATTAACTATTCGCTGACACCTAACGAGGATTTATTTGAGGAAGCAGTAAGTCTGAAAAAAAAATGTTCACATTGATGGTGGGTGGCCTAAATTTTGGTGTGAACCAAGTCAACATTGGTAGTGAGTGAGGTCGTTTTTGAATGCGGGTCCACTCAACTTTCCAATAGGGTGAATTCCTTTTGAATGTGGACCAGGTAGGTTTTAACTGACATTGAAACGCGACCTAACTGCTATGTTTCAATTACAATACAGACTTGTCCTTACAGCGTAATGTTTGGTGCGTGTGTATTAGGCATGTGCTGCAAGGCCTGTGTTGTTGGTGGATATAAGAAGTAATGTATAGGTAAAACGTTCACATGCCATGACCCCATAGAAATACATGAAATAGTGGCCTGTGAACTTTTAACGCACTCCCTTCTCTACGTTTTTGAGGAATTAATCACACATTCAATAGCATATAGCTGGTCGTTGCACTGGAGGTGAGCCGGCTTGCAGTAAGAAATGGGAGCATGTTCCGATTGCGTGCAGATCCATATTGGTCATGGCGGTTCTGTTACGATCGGATATTGCTGCCGCGGTGGTCTAGTGACTGAGGTACTCGGCTGCTGACACGCAGGTCGCGGGTTTGAATCCTGGCTGCGGTGGCTGCATTTCCGATGGAGGCGGAACGGGTGTAGGCTTGTGTGCTCACATTTGGGTGCACGTTAAAAAAACCCAGGTGGTCAAAACTTTCGCAGCCCTCCACTACGGCGTCTCATAATTATTTGGTGGTTTTGGGGCGTTAAACTCCACAAATCAGTATTATTGCGGGACGGTAGCCGTACTGGCCATTTCATAGGGAATATATTGATTTTCATGAGTAAAGTAGCCCCAAAACTACGGCCTGAATACCGCATTGCGATGAAAGGGACAGGTGATGAACACCCATGTTCGTACATTTAGGTGGACGTTAAAGAAACACAGATAGCCTCAATTCATCCAAAGTTAAGGCATGCCTCGTAATCGAATCGGGCCTTTGGTACGCAGAACCCACGCAATTATTAATATTATTATTACGTCATGAATATAAGATAGCGCTCATGGTCCACAGGTGTCTCGATGAGGAGCACTTTGTGGAGCGTGCCTTTATGGCATGTATGTTGCGTCACTCAGGTGATTTGAACAAGGGCACTGACACGTTAATGCTGCATACATTATGCAGACTTTGTATGTGCACTAAGAACTGTTCATTAGTGCACTTGATTGTTGTAAGTCAAATATATTTACCTTAGATTGAGAGTGGAAAGAACACTGGTACACAGATGCAGCTGAAAAAATTCCCAGCTTTCGTCGCTGTTGGGCCGGACGAAAAGAAAAACAAGCTTGTGGTGTTCATGACAAATATTTGGAAAGAAAAATTAGTAGGAGTGTTTCTTTATCAGAGAACGGTGCGGCCACAGTTCTTCAGTGCACAGCCCATGATCTCTGCCTTAGATGGCCTTCTCAGGCCTTATGAAACAAGCTTTTTTTTTTTCCTCGGACAATAGGCGACTGGTAATATGGGCAATCGCAGGGAACTGTGGGATACGACGGCTTCCGGTTCGAAGCCCCTAACGGGTTAGCAGCAGGCAGGCCCGCATTTTTGTACCGCTTCGTTGAAAAAAGCACCTCTCCGTGAAGTGTCAGTTCTTTAGAAGTTGGTTTTTTGTTTCTCCTAACTGTGACTGTGACGATGACAAGCTACGAAAGCTATGAACGGTAAGGAAACTTTTTTATCACACTAAAATGATCTGCAATGCTTTTTTGCTGCTCAGGGGTACTGTCAGTTTGGCTAGCAGATCAGTCAATACAGAAAACAGTTTTCATTGTATGAAACGTTACTGCAGATAAAAAAACACCATTTTAAAGATCTCAGGGGATGGGGATGACAGTAGCAGTGTGCTAAGAGTTTCGGAATTGCTGCTTCGGATGACATTGTAGGTTGATCGGCATGAAGCACAGCACTTATTGAGCACGTTGAGATATCTTTTTTGGTTCTAGCCTTCAGCGCGCTATAAGATGCATTTGTTAGTCGAAGCCAGATACTTATTTAAACGCTGATATTGATCATTCTGCGCGGCACGGCAGCACATAAACAGTACAGTCAGACATAAATGGCGCCGAATAATCGTAACCCTGCACTTGTTTAACGCACTTCTTCCTTTGGGTGCCCTCCTGGCGCACAGTTTGACCAAAATAAAAGCAAATGTACTCGTCTAGCGCTTCGTGTAAACTTACTCTTGAGTGAAGCTTTCGAGTTTTTGTCATATATATGGGTGCAATGGCCGGCGCTCATCTCATATGACAGGTAGATTTCGCCCGCGTGTTTCCCTATCATCTTTGCTAGGCGTGCCTGCGTGACAATTTATTTCTCAATATAATGTTCACAGCAAATTCACGCGTGAACTTTTTTAGTGTGTAATACACACGTACCTATAATAAAATGGTTTTCGCACACTCTGGCTTCAGTGTTCCTTACTCGAAGGCTGCCCCGCCGCGGTGGTCTAGTGGCTAAGGTACTCGGCTACTGACCCGCAGGGCGCGGGTTCTAATCCCGGCTGCGGCGGCTGCATTTCCGATGGAGGCGGAAATGTTGTAGGCCCGTGTGCTCAGATTTGGGTGCACGTTAAAGATCCCCAGGTGGTCTAAATTTCCGGAGCCCTTCACTACGGCATCTCTCATAATCATATAGTGGTTTTGGGACGTTAAACCCCACATATCAATCATTAGTCGAAGGCTACCTGTCACTGTGGCTCTCTTCAAAGCTTCGGCCCACCTCATTTTTCTTTCTTTATTCCATGGGAATCGATACCTGCGTTTGTCTTTCACGCTCGAGTTGGAGCAGCCAACGGCTGAACAACCGACCATGGTTTGTCAGGACGAAGATAAACGGGTGACCACGCGCGCGAATCCCGAATAATCTGAGGCTTGCGGTGGAGCGGTTCGCCGTCGTCTACTCTTCTCGAACCGGACGCCGGTAGCAGACGGTGCATCCCACAATCCCTCACTCTTTTACTGGTCACCTATTCTACATTGGCACGGCAGTCGTTGCCTATGTGCTTCATAACGATACAGCGTACACCACTGTCTTTGAGTTCCTTCGTGCTAATCACAGGTAACCTTGCGGGTTATTTTTTTGTAAAGTGAACTCATAATTCAACGTGAAATGAATAAGCAAGCGTCTTGCTGAGGGCGCACTTTTAGATTTATTTCCATTTCTCGCTTTCTTTTTCGCTTCTGAGTTTATTGCCAGCTATTGTGACACTTAACTGCATCTACGATGCCGCAAAGTTTATCAATATGTAACCATGTATGCATATATGTTAGCACAAGGAACCATTGTTCGAAAATTATATCGTTAAAATATATCGTTAGAAATTTTTACACGTTTATATGTAAGAAGATATAAAACTAGCGGTATGTAAAGATGTTGTCTATTCCAAACATCTAATTATAAAAGAAGACTCTCTATTGATGCGACTGTTATACTGTACCCGAGGGCATATTGAGTTACAAAAAATTAACCCTGCCTTTCGAAGAACGATCACATACTCTCAATAAAAAATACAATCAGTCGGTATTATATTTACGGTAAGTTTTTGCGAAAATTTCACGACCTTTAAGAGCTATCTTCTATGAAAATAGTATCGTGATTCACTATTTCATATTAGGCATTATAATACCTGGCTTCCGTTTTAGCTACTTCTTTTAAAATGGGTACGAACATTATCGTGCATCTTACCACAACAACAACAACCAAAAAAGCTCTAACCCCTCTTTCATTCCCCATCTAAATATTTACAAAAAAGGGGGGTGACCCTTAAGCTGGGTCTTTAAAGGAGTACTGACACAAAAACTTTGGCCTCGCGTTTTTCTGCTGCAATGCGTTGCTGGAGGCCTCTTGGTCATGACACGACACATCGTTTGCTGCAGCAGGCGACAGATAAATAATTACAGGCCCCTCACTATCAATGAGTTTCAGTTTCGGTTAGAGAGTTCCAAAAACTTGTTGCAACTTTCGCCACGTAGCGTGTGCAGCTCTTGATCACGTCAGCACATAGAACTGTGACACACTTCCACAAGGTCCGCATCAAGAATCACCTTCGAATATAAAACGGGAGTGGAATGCCCCCAAACACAAAACTTTCTAAGCTTGCGCCGCGGCTCCGCACTCTCAACCAGCCGCCGAGAAATATAAACTTCGGGAACTAACGCGGCAAAAGAAAAATGGCGGCTATGACGTCATCATATCTTGTTATGTTCACCGCAGCGTGGTGCCGTGAGGGAAGTAGGGGGTCACGTTTGAGTCACCTCCGAGGGTGTCTATAGCGCTATGGAGTCGGTCGCTCACGCAAACTTGAAAACTAACTAAAAATACCTTCCAAGCTATATTCGCTGTTGATATCTTGCAGATGATATACAAATGTTCACGAGAATTGACCCCGCAGGCTATTTCGGCCCCAAAATTTTGCGTCAGTACCCCTTCAAGAGTTGAACACATTAGCTATATTCTGTCCCTAGTGCGCACTGAGTTCAAAATGGCTTATGTCAGTGAAGCTTTCGCACACGGCTGCCTTATGTGTTGTGGGTAGCATGCATGCTTCAAACCACGGGCAATTGTGCGCGTGAAATCTTTTCGAACTTGCTATGCACCCACTACGTGACCTTAAGGAAAAAGGTGCTGCAACGTGCGGGCCTTTTTTAGTGGATGATGCCCTTTAAACCACGAATTCATCAAAATGGCATGTTCTAATGTCTGATCGCATCAGCAAGATTAACATTGTACACCAAACTAAGAGCTCTTTTTATTTGTCCGGTTTGACTTGGGGTGGAGTCCGTTTCTCTTGCACATCCTTCTCCCTCAAAGTTTCACTTGGCTCTGTCCTGTTCATTTTTCTTTTCTAATTGGCAATGCCTGCTATATGTTTATGGCGTGGGCGAGGATTTGTTTTTCCTTACGTCACAATAAAGAATGATGCCTGATCACAACTTACGCTTGTACCACGCATTATTACAGCGACATTACATGTTGCATTGTGAAGCATGCATACAGGACGCCTGTGTTTGTAAAGCGTGCAAGTTACTTTTGCTGCATTTCCAAGCAGATGAAGTTATTTTCGCTACATTTCTAAGCAGAAACGTGGCTCATTGGTAGAACACTTGCTTGTCACGCAAACGACGTCCGTTGAATCCTCATTCAGTCCTAGATTTTAAAACAATTCTTTTTTTGCATCTTTCTCGACTTTTGGCTCACGCACAAAAAAATAATTTTTCGCTCCCACCCAATGACGCCGACACCAGAAATTACACGAAACGAGCTCTTCAACGCTATTGCGTTAGAAGTTTGCAAGCTGCGTCGTAGACCTGCTTTCAAACACGAACAGTAAACGAACGCTGAGAACCAAATATTTTGACATACTAGTTCAGAACACTAAATACACAAAAATTGGCCATTTGACTCACTGTTTCTCCTTGCATTCATCTTCTTCAATATACCCGGAGTCTTTTCCCATGATGATGAATTCTTTGTCGTCAGCCATATTGAAAGTAGCACCACAACGATCGCGCGCCTTGATACGGCGTGTCTTATTTTCCAAGCAGTTCTCGTAACCTAAAAAGAAGAGCAAAAAAAAAAACGTGACAGATCCCACTTTTTAAGAATCGGTACAACACGGAAGTGGAACGTGTCCTCGCAGAGACCTTTGAGCACTCATTGTGAATTGTTTCGCCACAAAGGCGAAGAAATGAATGCTGCAGTTACAAATTGCAATGTCACGCGCACAGGTCAGCAAAACTTGTGGAGCTCACTCAGACTCACTCACTCATGAGTGAGTGAAACAACTTTATTTTTGATCTGGCATAAAGAGGAAGAGGTAGAGGAATTAAAGGAAGACTTTAGCGTGCTAGGACGTCCCGGAGCAGTGACCTACTCGCGTCAAACCCGTGGGGGCGCCGCTTTCGGCCGCTGGCGTTCCAGGATGCCAAGCAAGCTCAGAGTTTTGGTTCTGCACCTCGAGGATCTGAACCGGAACAACGTGAAAGTACAGAAGCTCCACGCAAAGCTGTCGCTGGCCACCCACTTACTCAAGAAGGTGACCACGCGGTACCAGGCTCACTTATGAAATGTATTTTGAGCATTGGACTTAATCGAACTCAGATTCACGAAATTTTTCTTCAGCTTGACTCACTCGGACTCAAACTCACCAAAACATAAGTGACCCGGACTCACTCAGACTCCGACTCACGGCTCGATCTGAGTCTCAGTGAGTCTGAGTAGGTCAACTCATGAGTCCATCAGCCAAGATTTAGCTTCTTCAATCGTGATGTCGATGCTCTTTAACACCAATATCTCACTCAATCGGTGCTCTTCTTGGTGTCATTAGGCATAGCATCTTCGAAAAAGAGTTCTGAGGGCTTCAAAAACACTGCAGTAATTTTTCTTGGAAGAGATGACATCATGAGATATAATAATGAACAAATTTCCTGGAAGAGTTGGTGGGGGAGGTAAAGGCACCCAGCTTACGTAATTTACGCACTTAAATAATAGTGTATGAATGACACCGCTTTGAAATACACGTGACTAGACGTGAGTATAAATGTGAATTTAGGTTAGGCTGATAGAAGTGCTGAATATCACTTGATAGATAAGTCATCAACAGAAAGTGTAACTCACTCAGTCTCACTCAAGAAAAATATCTTGCGCTTTGGACTCATTCGGACTCACATTCACTGAATTTTCCCGAGCAGAACTCACTCGGACTCACAGTCCCAAAAATTTTCTTCAACCGGGTTCACTTGCACTCATACTTACAAAAATATTACTCGCCCGGACTCACGGCTCGATTTGAGTGTGAGTCCGAGTGAGTTGACTCATGAGTGAGTTTGCCGACCCCTGGTCACACGAAGAACGGCAAGCAGCTCAAAAATTGCAGCGTACACCTCAAGCACGACAAGAGCATACACAGTACGAGCATGGACAAACAACAGCTGTCACAGCTCGGCACTTGAAGCACGCTGCTCAAAAAGAGAGAAAGACGTACGAAATGAACGCACAAGTATATACTTGGACGAGCGCGAACAACGTTCACAATTTTTACTTCTTCGTACGTGAACAGCGCGCTATCGTAAATGTGGCCGTGGCAGTGAGCCAAGTGACGTTCGTGCGCTCTTCAACTACTGTCACTTCAAAGCAAACTTGCGGTGGAATCCCGAGATAAGCACGTGCGAGAGAGCCACCTCGATATGTGGGGTTTAACGTCCCAAGACCACCATATGATTATGAGACACGCCGTGGTGGAAGGCTCCGAAAATTTTGACCAACTGGGGTTCTTTAACGCGCACCCAAATCTGAGCACACGGGCCTACACAATTTCCGTCTCCATCAGAAATGCAGCCGCCGCAGAGGGGATTCAATCCCGCGACCTGCGGATCAGCAGCCGAGTACTTTAGCCGCTAGACCACCGCGGCGGGGCGAGGGAGCCACCTCGCATGACAACTTTTATAGACCGTTTTCTGCTGCTAGTTTATCTATGCAAAACTAGATGGCGCCACTGCCCCGATGCGCCACGGCCTTCTCCTTGGTGGCGCGGCTGCGATGTGGCGTGTGACGGACGTTGCCCTGCAGCGTATATGCCGAGAAACAGTGGTAGTAGTTATTTTTGAAGAAGGAAAAAGGCACCTAATTTCTGTCAGCCACAAAGTAACTCGGCGCAGCGCCTTAGAGAAAAAAATAGAAACGGGCAGCGCGTACTATGCGCTGCACCTGCTTTGCTGATGTTCCACCCGGGAGCGGCGACGGCCAATCGGCCGGCCGTCGCCGACGGTGACGAAGTGGAAAGGAGAAGGTCATTAGATCAGGTGTTCGAACGTGGCAGCAGCCGTTCGCCGCTGCGGTGAACAGTCTATACGTACTTTGACCAGGCCGTTCCCGGAAACTCTGCGCTAGTATTGGTTTCAGTGAACCTGCATGCTCGTAGCGGTTGCTGGGCATCCTAAGATTCGGTTGAATGGAGTGAGGTTGTTGGGAATGTTCGCATTTCTTGACTTCAAGTGTTTAAAATAAAGAAATTCAATACCATTACAAATGAATTCTTTTGTAAGTTTCTTTTTCTTTCTTATTTTGTGAATTTGAAACTAGGTGAAGCGCAGGAAGTGGTTGACGAGTTCGTAGCGCTTGCCTCCGCTCCTTATCGCTTCTCCATTTTCTCACTGGTTGAGATTACAATCGAATCGCGCTCAATTATCTCACTCGGTTGTCGTGTTAGCTACTGGAAAGCAAGTTGTGCATAGCGGACCGCATAGAGTTTTCATAAAATAATACCTAGAAAGGAATCTGGCACCGCGATCGTGTACCTTCATGGGAATTATGGGTAGTACAGGCTTGGGATTGGATAGTGTTAGCTAGCGAACTTTTTTCTACAGTTTACGTTTCGTTCTTTGAGCAGCGTGGGTGCTGGGGTGCGGGGGAAAAAAGCTGAAGCAGTGCCTTTGTTGTTCAAAGAGGCTAACGACCACCATATCTTCTGATTTGCTGCGACGTTGTAGTTTTACGAGTTGTATTTCACAGTTTAAACGAAGCGTCGTCCACTAACCGCTGCACATAGATGCAGCGTCTCATGCCAGCGCAGGATATTGCTTCGAGTTCATGTTTTTCACGAGCACGTCTTGCCTGAATTCATTTTAAATTGACTAAAAAACGATGACGAAGTTAAGTAGACGCACCATCACGTTCCGCTGACTCGACTTCACAACAAAACCACAAAACCAGAAATGCGTTGGAGGCACACAACTGGTACCACTGAGACAGACGCACCTAGTGTCGCAGAAGACAAAAGTTGAGACCAATATCCAGTTCCGCGAACGCTTTTCAGGTTTTCTATAGTGGCAACGAGTGAGCACAACTATTTGGACCCAATATTTTAGCAGGCATTGATTCAGCATGAGTACATGAGTAAACCCATGCACTTCTTTGCAAGCCTGAGTGGACTGACAGAAGTGCAGTGTCGCTAGACTAATTGGTCAATACGGCAGCCAAGCTGCTGTCGGAAGAATGCGTTTAATGAAAGGCTTGAATTTGTGTTCGCTCGGCTACATAGTTAGCACTTCTTTCACTTTTGGCATGTAGTTCAAATGATGTCCAGTAATTATATAGGCTCCTTCCTGTTCATGAAAATCACGTAGCTGCGGTTTGAAAATTTGTGAGTCCTTACTTCTAATACTGTCTATCGAGTGCATGTGATGGACTAAATCATTCTAAAGAAATATTACAAAGAATGTCGATGGAGCCAATATTTTGACAAGTAAACTTTTCTTCGTCAAGGCAACGTGGTTGCCCTGACGAAGAAGAGTCAATTTGCCGAAACACAGTTATCATGTGACGTTCTTTCTCCGAAAACTTCTGATCGCTTCAAGCCTCTCCGTGCGTCCGAACTTTATTCTCGTTTGATACTTAATTTCCGTGAGAAAACCATGTGCCCCGTCCTAACAAACGTGATTGAGTCAAATACGATGGGTCGAACTCGTGATTGTTGATAATCTTTTCATTGATACGGATACTTTGGATTCAATGTTTGCTCATTACGTCCATATGTTAGTTGTTAATGAAAGCTGCTTTTATAGATTAACACTTTCACACTAAGTGTATGTCTCTGTATTTCTACAAATTTGCAATAAAAATGTTCATTTTACATGTGTCGTCTTACTGAGACGGCACAAATACCTTCGTCTTACTGAGAAATTGGTCAACATAACTTGCGTCACTTGACTAGACACGAACAAAATTAGTGAAAATGGTTAACGAAATCCTACGAATGGCCACGCATTGCCCAAGCAGCCAGCGGACCAGATGAAGGCACGAGCGCATTCCGTCTGCATGCGAAGTTGGAAAGGAGAGCTTCCGCGGCAACCATCCTGCTCTTGTTTTTTCTCGCCTTTCTCTCTTTTCAATTACCTATCCAGTGACGTCATGAAAGAAACGTTTTGTTCGTGATTTATTTCTAGTTGGCATGGAGGGAAAAAAAAGTAGGGAGCGTGACGTCTCGCGGGCAGCCTCGGCAAGCCGTGCCGTTTTGAAGCCAGTATTGTTGGTCCAACACGTGACCTTTTCCGCGAAATCACGCCAGCAATGAGACTTGCCGATACTTCGGAGTACGGCACCCAGATAGCTTCTAATCGACACGCGCTGGTTCGATGCAGACCGGCCAATTCACGCAGGAGGTTCAAAGACGGAACAGCGCTGAGAGTACTGAAGCATACAGCAAGGTGTGCCGTTTTGATCTCGTGTTGGGCCGACATGGTGCGGTTCACTCGGGTGGCACAATGCTCCCACTTTTCTTTTTATTCCTCCATGCTAGTTGCGTGCCCGGCAGTCGAATCTGGTAAAAGTGGCGCTGCCACTGCGTTCAGCATGTGAGAGTGCTTACATGGGAAGTATAGGGATATAACTTATTAGAGTGAAACTTTGTGCTAGTGGGTTTAGCATAATGAAGTACCTGCAGCGCGAATTCAAGACGGGGACACTAAAGAGGAGACACAGACAAGCGCTGACGAGCAACTGAGTTTTTATTAACACGAATGCAAATATATAGAAAAAAACATAAATAGAGAAATAAA